TCTCTCTCTCTCTCTCTCTCTCTCTCTCTCTCTCTCTCTCTCTTTCTCTCTCTCTCTCTCTCTCTCAAAAGAAAATCTTACAAGACCAAAATGTATCTTCTGGGTATGCACTGGAAAGTAACTTATTTTCAAGGGGAAGCAGGCATTTGCAGAAAAAGATCTTCATGAACAAGTAGCTTCTCATTTATATCTCCATATCCATAATCAGGCCATTATAATTAAGACTCAAGAAGTTTAAATTAGTTTGACATAATGTTCTATTTGCAATGTACATCCCTTGTCTCTTCTATTCATCCTAGTATTTAAAAAACAAGGAACCACATCACAGGTGTGCAGTAGATGCTTGTACTTTAAATATGACATTTTTTTTTGCAGCTGGTCACTATGCCTTGTATCATTGAAATTTCTAGTAGAAAAACAATGCTTAAGAGAAAGATTTCTGGAGAAGAGGGAATGGAAAATGATAGTTATGAGAAGAAAAGGGGAAAGAAAAGGAATTAACTTTCAAAACATGTATGGCATACTCAGAGTCCTATTTTTCAAACTCTTCTTATTTGTATGGACAGATGATGAGAATGAAAATAAGAATCTTTCTTACCTGAAGTATATTGCCAGCCATGCTGCAAAGGCAATCCCCATAAAAGATTTTGTTCATTTTCTGGAGCAAATTTTGCAAAATAAGTGGCTGTTTTGTTCAATAAGATTTTATACACCCCCATTTTCTCAGAAAATACCCAAGGATTAATAATGTACATTCCATTCTCCACTGGGTAATCACTGAGTTGACCAGGACTCTCCTTCCACAGAGGAGGATACAGGTCAGAGAAGTCAGAAGCTCTTGTTAAAGAAGCAGAAAGACAACCAACTAGTACACAGGCCCAGCAAGTAAGAAAAGCCATAGTGCCAAAACACGGGATTCAAGTTGGGTCAGGGTATTTATTAGAGCATGGAGGAGGAAGTCATGATAAGTTCTTGCATCACACCTTACTATCATTTAGATTCCCCTACCCTTTTGGATCAGATAGAGATAGATGTAGAGAAAATTGGTAGGTTAGTTAATCAGTTAAAATAATTCAGTTTTGCCACCTTTTCAGTATCACCACATTGTGCCTGAAACTAAGTACAAGAGTAGGTTTCTTATAATATATAAGATGAATCTGTTTTGTTAACATAAAACTTTCCAGAAGTTTTCTAGTCTACATCATGGTAACAAAATATATCACCCAATAGTGTTCAAATGCTTCCTTCTCATGTAGACTTTCACACATTTCACAAGAAATATTGACTAATTGAAACCAGAGATATTAGGATTTGTAATAATATATGAACGTATACTAAAATATTATGTGTGATCCAGTTATAAGTTTCTGCTTTGAGAAAGAAATGAAAAGCCATTTTATGGGGGGGGGAGGACTGCTAATTAACTACAAATCTCCTTTCTCCATTTTTTTCAGAAAAAAAAATCTTCAAATTTTAGCAAAGAACATGGTCTCCTAGAATTAGGACTAACTATCCAGTGTCCCTTACACAAACAACCATGTAACTAAGTGCTGGCCACTGGTACATAAACAGAAATGGATGGCATCCATGACTTCTGGGGCATGTTCATAAGTGGAAGGAATATGCCACTTTCCTTTCCTTCCTCCATATTGTGACTTGGGTTATGAATATAAACCTCAATCCTGATCCCTAAGCACATGACACAATTGCAGGAATTACAGAATACAAAGTTGGAGGTGCCTGAGACCAGGAGATTGTGGAACCATGAGGTTGACCTGAATTCCTACATCTGAATTTTACCTTAGAAATAATCATCTTCTCATTTCAATGATTGTCATATGGGCTTCATTCACACACAGTCAAAAAGCTATACATTGGAAAAATCTCAATTATTAGCATAACTATATCCATATCCTTCATAGTATGTCAAGAGTACTGTTCACTCTTGCTATTAATCAATAGATATTAAATATTGCTTAACATGATTTAACTCTTTATTTCTGTCATATTATTTTTCTAATAGCCACTCAATCATTAATTATTCAACTTTCCAATATAGCCACGTTTGGTAGTGCACACCTGTAATCCCAGTCATTCCAGAGGGTAAGGCAGGAGGATTCCAAGTTCGAGGCCAGCTTCAGCAATGTAGTGAGACCTTTAGTAATTTGGCCCTGAGCAATTTAGTAAGACCTTGTCTCAAAATAAAGAATAAAATGTGCTAGGGTTGTGGCTCAAGGGTTGAATGCTTCTGAGTTCAAAATGTAGTACCTATCAATCAATCCATCAATAAAGTCATACCATGTTCTTTGGTAGACTGAACATTAGCAACACGTCAATCTGTAAGTTTATACACTAAGAGGATTTTTACTTTTCTACATTTTGGTTCTAATAGATACATAAAAACATAACATTTGGAATTAATAATGGGATTTTTCAATGTTCATACATTATGTGATGTTTAAATCAGGTTAAACTTATCCATCACCTTGACTACCATGTTTTCATGGTACAAACACTATCTTTTCTTTTAGCTTTTTGAAATATATTGGACATAATTGTTACCACAGTCACCCTAATATGCACCAGTCTTTTCACTCTTTTCAACCATGACTATATCCATCAACCAACCTTTCCCCATTTTCTCCTCATCTTTATTCTTTCCCATCTCTGGTAGCCTAACTCAACTCCTAAGAGACAATTTTTAGATTCTACATATGCATATGATGATGTAGTACTTGTCTTTCTGTGTGTGTCTGACTTATTTCATTTAGCATAATGTTCTATCAATGTCACTACAAAAAAAAAGGATTTCATTCCTTTATGACTGAGTAGTATTTCACTGTGTATATATACCACATTTTCTTTATCTTTTATTTGTCGGTGGACACTTAGTTGATGATACCTAGCATTCTAGTTGTGGATACATAACTTAAAGTTATATTTATATATAAATATATCTAAGTGAAATATGTGTATATTTGAGGCAGATGTTCTTTTTTGTCTCTAGTAACTTTTCTAAGACAAAAATAAAATTTTTCCAGATATTTGATTAATTTTATTCATGACTACAACTTAATAGATCCCTTGCAACATCTCCAGACTTATTCTTTCACTTATTCAAAAATCTTCACCCAACACTTATTCAAGGTTGGTTTTCATTGCAAACTTGGAGGGCTTAGATTACAGAAAAAAAAATAGATACATATCTCTTAAAACTTAAATGACACTCTAGCTCCAGAATCCTCAGGTTTTTGTTTGTTTGTTTGTTTTAATCTTCTTCCTTTGCTTCAGTGCTTTGAAACACACAATTTTATTCTGTGGTGTTTTTCTTTGGGGGTAGTGTTTTTTTTTCACAGTTGCTGGTGAAATATCTAAATCATCTATTATTGTATATGACCAGCTTTTGGTCTCCACAAAATTTTTATAACGTGTTATGACTTTTTCATGTTCTTAAATCCATTATTATATATCCAGATATAGGGATTTTTCTTTTTCTCATATCTTCCACTATATATAATCTTTAACTCTTGTAAAAATATCTATTTTTGCAAAATATCTTTAAATATTTCCATTGTTCCACTTTAAAAGTACATATTTCTTGGCTTAATTTTTGAATATTGTCTATTAATTTTACTCTTTGTTTTTATGTCTAGAAGATTTAAATTTTCTGGTTTGAAGGTCTTTTTGAAGCCAGAATTAGACAGGCAGATAGGAAAAGGTGGGATCCATCGAATGGAGGGATTGAAATGTTAATTCCTTCAGAGCCCTTCTTCCAACCTTAACAAGATAACCTGCCCCTCTCCAACCTGTTGCTGAGGTAGCCTTTCCCAGGGATGGTCCCTCCCTACAGGGAATTAATTGTGAATTTTGCCCCCTTCCTGCCTTTATCTCTCCACCTTGGCCCCTCCAGCCCATTTGCATCTCACCTTTTGACCATCTTATCAAGCAACTCCTGGGCCTACTCACTTACACAAGAAGGAGAGAGTTAAGGGAAAGAGACCAGAGAACAAAGGAAGCCTAGAACATATAAAAAGGTAGAAGGCTCTTACTTCTTGGGGTATCAGGTCACCAGTTATGGCCCCCATCTCCCTCCTGGGGAAAGTCTGTGTTACTTCTTTTTAAACAAACACTGCTTTATATGCTTGCCTCCTCACGCTTCTCTAATGTTATACTTCAACATCTGAGGGAGCAGAACTCATTATTGATTACCAGCAGTCTCACTTTCCGTTCTTTAACACATTTATTGGGTTTTGATTTCGATCATTGTGACTCTTAAATCCAATATTCTTTTTGGATCCTTTTTGTGTTTTCTTGTATCATACTAGTAACATCTCATCTTGTTTAGAATGCTGTAAGACTAATTTTAAATTATTTTATCATATATTTTAACATTTCTGCTTCTAATAAAAACTAGGATCCAATATGACATTTTTTAATAGCAGTGCTCCTTGTGTTTTGTTCTGTAAACTTATATTCCCCCCAAAGTTTGACTTCTTTTTAATATCAGATTGTATCAACCCAATGAGAGGTCTATGGAAAACAGATAAGCCCTAAGAAGAGCCCCAAGCAACAAGAAACTCCGGTCAATTGCCTCTTACTCAAACAAATCTTCCATGGGAATTTCATCTTGGTTATCCAAAAAGCAGAATCTGGAAGAGGTTCTCCTTGGATTGTATTTCATCCACATTGATGGTTCCTGAAGTTTTCTTGCCCTCACCTGTTTTCTTCAGCAACTCCATTCTGTAGTAACAGCAAGAATTGAGGTAGGTTCTTAGGCTCACTGTCTGGCTGACCCCTGCTTTGGGTGAAAACTACCACCACTGTTTAACCATCATTGCAAAGACTTCTGCAGAGTCCTATTTTTCATATGGCATTTTTCCTATAGGTTAATCTCAGAGGAAAGTGCCAGAAACTAGCCTCATTCAGTATTTTGAAAGGAAGAAGAAACAAAAAACTAAAATCAAATTCAAACTTTTCCCTAATTTTGCTATAGGCTACTGCATATCATATCCTTTGCTCTATTTTCTCTTGAATAATTTACAATAAGTGGAGTTTTGGGATTCAAGGATATAAACATTTCTAACCATTTACCCATATATTGCTAAATTTCTATCAAAAATTAAAATTTCAAACATGGCTATTAATCAGAATGTCTACTTTCCTACATTTGAAGCAAGAAAGGACTGACAGCTTTTTTTCCCTTCACTTCATAAGAAAAAATAAAAATCTCATAGTTTTAATCTTAATTTTATTACAGTTTTTTGTAAATCTATCAACCTTTCATATTTCTTTGTTTTTGTATTTTTCAACCAATCTTTTGTCTAGCTTTTCTATGGGAGTATTTAGCTTTGTCTTAGTGAATTGTATAAACTAGAATGTAGTAATGTTCCTCAATAATGTTTACATTTCTTTACTTCTTCAGATTGATCTCAACAGAATACCTATGGTAACATTGAGAAAGTCTAATGATTTAAAATGTTACTTATATTCAATACACATGTTAGAAGCCAATTTTTAAATTTCCATTTTCAGGTATTTGTTCTGTAAATAGCACATAAATGCATACATTTTAACAGTGTTCTATTCAGCCTTGATTTACATAATATACATAAATTAACCTATTGGAAATATATTATTTTAATTTTAGAGTTGAGAAAGAATTTTTTTCTCTTGCTTAAATTTAATGTTAATTTACCTTACATTATTATGTTCTATCACTTTTTTATATGTCATATTATAGGGGAGAATTCTTTACTCACCTATGGCAATACTCAGGGCTAATACCCCTGAAACAAAAGGCAGATGATAAGAGAAGAGCATAATAGACTTTTTTGTACACATTTTATGTGACACAGGAGATTTCAGAAAGGAAGAGACCCAGAGAAAATTGTAATTTTATGCTTTGGTTCAATAAAGAATGGACATTTATAGAAATGTAATGAACAAAAAGATGCACAACCTAATAGTAATGAACTGGGGAGGAATGCAGCAAGGCCTGTTTGTTCAGATCTTCCTTGGCTTCTCTCTGGAGAATTCTCTGCTTATAGGTATAGGGTAGAGCCCCTGTAGATTGAGAATCTTATGACCTACTTTCAAGTGAGATGTGTCAGAAAATCCCTCTATGTCCAGCTCTCAAAGGGAAAAATGGGGAAAGTCAGAGTGAACTTTTTTTTATTTTTATTTTTATTTTAGTTGTAGATGGACACAATATCTTTAATTATTCATTTTTATGTGGTGCTGAGGATCAAACCTGGGCCTCACACATGCGAGGCAGGTGCTCTACCAACTGAGCTACGGTCCCAGCCCCGAGAGAGTGGACTTTTGCTTCTGCATTTTTTATCAATTCCCAAGGTGTCACATTGAGGATGTTGTGCTGTGAGCCCTGACATAATTGTCCCAACAGCACTCCATTGTATTCTGCCTTTACTTATCTTTGTTTTACAGGAAATGCTTCCATGTTCTGTTGGACAACTCAGGTTTTCACCATCTTCTCTGTCTGAAATATCCATTGCATAGAGGCATTATTTTATAAAGAACAATATGTCTTTCTTTTACCACTGCCTCAAGGATGAGATGATGGATCACATGTCTTCACGCCAGGATTATTTAAATGCCATGATAAGCCTTTTGGATCTTTCATGGATCACACCAAGACTGCTGTCTTTGTTTTTGTGTGTTCAGTTATCCTCTGATTATCAGTAGATCTTATCTGCTCTTCTGCCTTTGTTATTTTTAATAATTTTTGGCAATTGTACTCTAAGCTGACTCCACACTTGAAAACACTCCACATTTGTTTTAAAATCACTTTCCTAACAAAACCCCTAAAGCACAAGAAGTAAAATCAAGAATCAATAAGTGGGATAAAATCAAGCTAAAAAGCTTCTTAACAGCAAAGGAAACAATCAATAATGTGAAGAAAGAGTCTACAGAAAGAGAGAAGATCTTTACTACATGCACCAGAGATACATCATTAATCTCCAAGATATATTAAGAACTCAAAAATATTAACATCAAAACTCCCAAAAACCCAATGAGAAAGTTGGCTAAGGAACTCAACAGACACTTCACAAAAGAAGAAATACAATCAATCAACAAATACATGGAAACGTTCAAATTTCTGGCAATTATAGAAATGCAAATCAAAACTACATTAAGATTTCATCTTACTCCAGCCAGAATGGCAATTATCAAGAACTCGAGCAACAATAAATGTTGGCAAAGATTTTGGGGAAAATGTACAAAGTACATTGCTGATTATGCAGTACATTGCTGGTGGTACTGCAAATTCATGCAACCACTTTGAAAAGCAGTATGAGGATTCCTCAGAAAACTTGGAATGGACCCACCATTTGACCCAGTTACCCACTCCTCCATTTATACCCAAAGGACTTAAAATTAGCATACTACAGTGGCACAGCCTCATCAATGTTTATAGCAGCTCAATTCACAATAGCCAAATTATGGAACCAACCTTGATGTCTTTCAATAGATGAATAGATGAAGAAAATGTGAGATATATATATACACACACAGATACATACATATACACACACATACAATGGAATATTACTCAGCCTTAAAGAAGAATGAAATGATGGCATTTGCAGATAAATGGATGGATTTGGAGAATATCATGCTAAGCTAAATAAACCAATCCCCCCAGAAAAACAAAGGCCAATGTTTTCTCAGATATGATGCTAATTCACAATGAGTGGGTGGATGGCTAGGAAAACATAGAGGTGCTTTGGATTGGGCAGAAGGGAGTGAAGTGGGGGAGGAAGGAGAGGGGTATGGGAGTAGGAAGGACAGTAGAATGAATCATACATTATTACTCTATGTACATATATGATTACACAATTTTACATCATGTACAACCAGAAGAATGAGAAGTTATACACCATTTATATATTATAGGTCAAAATGCATTCTATTGTCATGTATAATTAATTAGAACAAATAAAAGTAGATGAGAGAAACTCAATAATAAAAGGATAACTCTTTTTCCAAAAAGGCAAAGTATCCATAGATATTTCTCAAAATTAGTTATGTGTGTGCTACTCAATGAATGAAAAGAAAATCATTAACCATCAGGGAAATGCAAATTAAAATCTCAGGAGATAATACTCCACACACTCTAAGATGATTATTATAAAAAAGGTAATGGCAAGTGTTGGAGAAATCAGAATCCACAACTAATGGTGGGAATTCAAATTTATATATAATATGTCAGTTCCTCAAAAAGTTAGATACAAGAGTTGGGGAAGTAGCTTAGTGATGAAAAAAAATCTATATTTTTATGTTTAATCATTTTGTGTTGATTTTATCTTTTCCTTAAAGCACCCCACCTACTCAGCTTCAATGGAGGTTGGCTTTACAGAAATCATCTGCAAGAACATCTGTATTTATTTGTGATTCAGTGGATTCTTTACAATGTTTGCTTTATTTTCCTATTACATTACTGCTCAACATCAGAGGTCACGTTATGTATCATGAATAATACTGATAACTGAGAGTGGTAAAATATGCTAGAGATCTGGACAAGTATAGAAATTCACTTTTGGATCTTCAGAGTGATTGTGTTCAACTTTATCTATCAGTAAAATAGTGTGCCATTTGTTCTGAATTAATCAAGATCTCAAAATATTCTCAAATTGCTATATTCGCATATTGTACTTACTTCAGCTGAATCCTCCCAAAATTGGAATTATGTGCATGAAGTTTATAAGACTACATGTGCTGATCACACACTACATGATCAGCTCTAGTGTTGGAGAGTTGTTGCTAACTTAACAATGCAGAATCCCTGGGATTCCCAGCATAATGGGAGTACACACCACTCAGCAGCTCTTTTCCTTGAACTTCGTCATGTAGCTCATGAAAATGATTGTACAGTAGAACTGCAGTGTTATCTCCATAGTAAGATATGCAGGTGATGTTTGGCTGTCAGAAAGAGACAGGAAGAATATCTGGACCATTCTCTCATATAAAGCAAAACCCTGATGCTACAGGAGAGCAGAAGTTTTATTTCTTTTCCAAGAAAAGTTTGGTTGCTGCTGGGGGAGTAAAAAAAAAAAAAAGCATTTGGCCATTGTGAGAGGGGCACAATCTCCTCACATCCAAGACCCTACACTGCTAGTAAAAAGACTACTGCTGCTGGTGAGAGGTGGTCAACCCAGCCCTATGCAAGACCACAAAGAGCAAATTTCCTTTGCCAAGACAGGAAGAGGTAAGAATAGTGAACATTCTCCCCTCTTCAGCCCCAGGCACAGAGAAATTTGAATAAATAAAGTTTGCACAGAACAGAGAATTGTGTCCATCACGCACCAGGAGCTGCAGACCTACTGTGCAAAGAACAACTTATTGTAGTCTGAGGAATAGAGTGTATGTAAGGCTTACTGTAATTTGGTCACTACTAAACTCTACAAAATCGTGCCAGCACTCCAGGCTTTACACTAAGCACAGGAAGGAACAGTTCACAGCTAGATGGATTTGAATTCTTTGGTGCACCGATGATAACTATAGAAACATCAAAACCAAACTTCGTTAAATAAAATTAATTCAAATTCACACATTAATAGCCCAAAGACAAAGATGCATACTAACAAGGGGATATAAAACTGATGTCAGTTGTTAACTACACTTTATACATAATTCTGACATTTACTCAAATTCTATTAGGCACACTCAAAAATCAATAAGAATAGTTATCAGTAGTAAAGAGATAAAGTAATAAAGACAGATACGGAGATGGTATAGGCATTAGAACTATCAGTCAAAATGCTATAAATATCTTTGATAAGTTGTTAAAGCATCTAGATGACTAGGTTTAAAATATGTATGAAAAGATAGAAGATTTTATCAGTGAGAAGAAAATTATTTTAAAAGAATAAATGAAAATGATGGAAATAAAAAGCACACTATTAGAGATGAAAAATTCCTTCTGTGAAACTAACAGCATAAGTCATTTAATTTGAAATATCTTGCCTCTTGTGTTTTGTTCTGTAAACACACAATCCCCTCAAAGTTTGACTTCTCTTAATGTGAGATTGTGTCAACTCAATGATAGATCAGTGGAAAACAGATAAGCCCGAGAAGAGCCCCAAGTAAGTGTAAATCCCAGTCAAAAAGATCTTCCATGGGAATTTCATCTTGGTTACCCCAAACAAGCAGAACATATTTTAGCTAAAATAACAAAAATAGTACAAAGGAAGAATGTTAAAATCTGCAAGAATGAAATATCAAGTCATGTATAAAAGTGAAACCACCAAAATAATAACAGATTTCTCAGTAGACACTCTGAAGTTCAAGAAGGTATAAAATGATATATTTTAAGCCTAGAAAAAAATAGCTACTAATAGAAATTACTATATCCAGACAAGCTTTCCTTTGGCTTCAAATAAGAAATAAAGACCTACCAAGATGAGTATAAACTAAAGGAATTCATGACTATTAAGCCAGCATTGCTGAATATATTTGAAGCAATCCCACACTCAGAAGAGGAAGAGAAACACAACCATGAAAACATGAGAAAGAACAAACCTCACTAGAAGAGTAAATATGCAAGTGAGAATTAGGAAAGACTCAAACATTAGAAATAAAACAAAAAGACGGCAATCAGTATGTACTTTCTATGCTAACTCTGCATGAAAATGGTCTTAGTTCTCTAATTAAAAACCCAGGCTAGCAAAAGGGATCAAAAACCAAGATCCTATTGTTTGTTGCCTGCAAGAAACACTTAGCCAGCAAAAAATGGGAAGATTAAAAGGATGAAAAATGCCATTCCATGCAAATGGAACCCCAAAGCAAGCAGGATTAGTTCCACTCATATCTGACAAAGCAGACTTCAAAACAAAACAAAGTTAGAAGAGATAAGTTTACTACATACTGATTTTTTAAAAAAAAAAAAACCCACTTAGTGAAAGAGGTGAAAGACCTCTACAATGAAAACTACA